TCTTCACCTCTTTCATTCAGAGTTCAAGTGTTGTGTTGGCGCGGTGTTACACGGTCATGGGTTAGTTGACCTTCACCTCTTTCATTCAGAGTTCAAGTGTTGTGTTGGCGCGGTGTTACACGGTCATGGGTTAGTTGACCTTCACCTCTTTCATTCAGAGTTCAAGTGTTGTGTTGGCGCGGTGTTACACGGACATGGGTTTGTAGGGGAAGCTACCATGTGGTGAACAGGCCATGTTGCACGACACGTAGTTGTGCAGTTGCTGATAGCACGCGCAGATGGACAGATTGCGATTACCCCCATGGGAGATAGAGGCGAGTGTGCGTTGTTCACAGTGGTCAGTGAACAAGTTACTAGCAAATAAAGGCGCTACTAATAAGTCACATACATTTTATACGAAGTATCTATAAAAGAGAAAGTTTGAATTGTCTTTTTATGTGGGTGATTTATTCGATGTGACGTGTCGGTAAAAAAGGATTGTTGTGTATATGTAGTGGTTTGAAAGTTCTGGGTTTGCAACCAGACGTGCTACTAACTTCCCTGTCTGCTTCACACGACGCGACGTATTGATCGGACCGGCCTATTCTGTTTAACTCGGGGAGGAGGAAATCGGGAATGTAGTAGAAACTGAACGTGAACCCGTGAATGGATGAACACTGTTAGTACGTACTATCGTAGCTCACAGTTCAGCGGACTATCGTGTTTATGGTGCGTTAATCAATAAATAAAATATGTGATGTAATATTCACATGAACATTTGCATTAAATTCTGAAAATGCAGCTTCAAGTTGAGTAGATTAAAAATGTTTATTGTTTCGTCGTTGGTTTTTGTATCACGGCAATATGTACACGTGTTTCAGTAAGCTTACCGGATAAAAAATGTTCGGTATTTTACCGGAAAGAACCTTCTGGAGGAAACTTGTTAACTATACAGCGTACGTTTCCTGATCTGTCACGGTTATTAGTCAGTGACCGTGTATTAATAGCCCAATTGAAGTAAACATATATATAGTATGGTATGGGTATTAAAAACTTTAATATATAACATTTCTCAACCTCAAGAAACCCACAGAAAAATCACCCACACTGGACTATACATTACCTGGGACTTAGCGCTTGAAACAAACCAAAAACCAAATAAACACAGCCACAAAACTGTGCTCACCAGATAAAGTTAACGAGGAAATCAAACAATTAAAACAATACTTCATCAAAAACCGTCGAACAAATCATAAACACGTACATAGGCCAACAACACAATCATCAGTAAACAACTAACTATAAAATACTGCATACCGTATATTCCCGATAAAATAATCAACATTTGGAAAAACATAACATTCCAATAAACACTAACTTCATTCAAAAACCGGCCACAAAACTAAAATCCATAGTGCATAAAAACTACACTGACAAACATAACATTATTTATAAAATACAATGTAACAACTGCCACGACAGAAAAATGGAAACCAGATTCAATGAATGCAGAAAAACAAATAAGCATAAAAAACACCAACATCTTAAGTAGAGAAACAAACAAAAAATCAAAGAAGTCCTACTTATAGAAGAACTCAAACCAACATAAAGGAACACCTCTAACTGCTGCGCCCCCTACAATCTCGTACCTCTTCACACTCTCGTCCCTAAGACATGCGCCCAGTTTCAAACTGTCTGTTAACCTGAAGATGACCTAAGAAGGTCGAAACGTTGTTCTTGTACCTTATTTTAATTAAAGTTTTTAATATCCATACCAGCCGCCTCTGCTATACATAGCACGTAATTGGTCAGTATTCGTTGTTACGTCACCAGGTTAATTTGTAATAATTTAACAAAAGTACGTTTCATCCAAAATAAACTATAAAATTCAAATACACGAATAAATGTTTACCGTGTAAATATTGTTGCACGACTGTCATCGTTTCTGTGCGCATGCGTTGGTAGTTGAGGTTTGTCTGTATTGGTTCTGTAAGTGACCTGGCATGTGAATCACGCCGTTTTAAATACATTATATAAAAAAACAAACAAACAAGTAGTTACTTTGGAAGGTTAGAGAACCAGACATACTGAGTTGAAATCGCAAGTGACTTAGTGAACCGTAAGTACTGAACAAAGTGCCTGCGGGCACTACCTTAGTTGAAGTTTTCATAAACCATGTTGGCAGTGTAGACAAATTATACAGGAAAACTGGTTTGGTTTAGTTAGTTCTATTGGCGTGGCGATTTCCTAACCTTGAACTTGAACTATATAACGACATAGTCAAGGTTGAGAGAGGAATATTTTGGCGGTCACTGTCTTACTACAACGGATGTGTTTGGGTTTTCCCCGTAAACCTGAGTGAAGTTGGTTGTAGGTATTTATTTACACTGTAATAGGCTTAGAAATTATATATCGTGTGTGTATTAAACGTAAATACTTTCTGATCTGATATATATATATATACTTTAGTATTGTCTGTGTCACTCATTGATATAAAGATCGTACTTGTAATACAAACACTGCATACATTAATTTCTGCAGGGCAAAATACTACAAAGTTGGTCCTCTAGATTTTCAGAACACTTGTTAGATCTGGAAATAGTGGTGTGTTGACTGGGCACAAAAATAATAGCTAATCAAAACAAACAATCTGAAGCTGGGACATTCAGATCTGGAAATAGTGGTGTGTTGACTGAGCACAAAAATAATAGCTTTCCTTAAAGGCTCAGGCATAAAAACTTTAAACCCATCACCACATTTTAGCCCTCGGTTTCCTAGGGCTGTGTTCGAATATTCATGAGGTGGTATTTCAAGCAGAACCTGTTTGTTTCTTTTTCTCTCTTGTTAACAGAAACGGTTTGACAATATTTAAATAATAACATTCAGTTTTTGATTTGTATAATGTCTGTTTGCATTTCATTCCATAGACTGGAGCAGACCATTGTTGTGAAGTTCAGGGGGAGCTTTTAACATCTACGTTACTTCATTGATATACACTAATAATTATAATGTAGAAACGGGAGTTGTGATGTAACTATATCCCCCCCAGGCGTATATTTAATTATTCGATGTTAAAAAAGTGACTGATAGTAACATTCTAGTTTTTTAACATTTTGTTTAGTTGAAGGTCTCGTAATTATTGTTCAATCCAATTGTGTTACTTTGTTCTGTTTGGCTGTTTATTAGACATGTTTAATTAATCAACATTCTTATATTGAAAAGTACAATGTTGACCTGCTTGGTAAGGTGACTGTTAATTAATGACTTGTTTTACTTAAGTCAATGAAGTCCTTTTAACTGACCACAGTACGGTAGTCTTGCGATGAAAGCTTGCTCTGTCTGTACGTATACCTAAACTACATGGTTTTTATCATTCATATAAAAGAATATAATTACTGTTCTGAATAACATATTTTTAAACTGCGTGTGGAGTTTCAATAGTAACTCTGGTGATGTCATCAGTAAATTATGCAAATTAATACTGTTGAAGGTTTAAACGTTTGTTCGGTAATGTGTTCGAACCTTTGAAGGACAAAATCTACCCCTCATTACAGATACCATAAATTACTGTCGTGTTTTTATACCATTCACTATTTATAGAAAGTTCATGTTATAACACTAATTTATTTTGGATAGCTCCAGGATTGATTAATGAAATTAATATTAACAGCACCGTATATGTTTGTTTAAATATCGTGTTATTAGGAGTCACAAGCAATTTGGTGCAGGAAAGAGTTTCAAAAAATGTTTATAAAATGATGGGGCCACAGTTCTACAGTTGAGTAGCTCCAACTAACAGAATTTTACCACATTTCATCATTGTTAAATGTAAGGTGCTTGATGTAGAAAATCTATTGTGTTGTTTTCTTTCTTTCTCGGACAAGTCTCAAAAGTAAAACAACCAGCAACTAAGCATTGTTGGACATTTACAGTTTCTTCTTGGTCGAAACTATAATACCTACAATTAAAAAAAAATTATTTTTAACTAAAGTTTGTACATACATACATTTATTGATTAAATTGGAATAACTATTGTGTGATCTTTATAAATATAAACTTTCTAATCATCCTCACTTAATATAGGTTTTCTTTCTAACTTGATATCACAGCCATGCTATCACAATTATGTTAAAGTTTTTTATCATTATTTGTGTTTGTACTATGCTTATTCTGTTTTTTTTTTGTTACTTTTATAGCTGTGACAGAGATTTCTGTTACTTGAAACCGTTTTTCAATTCAGTATTGTTTTTCAGTATACGTTCAAGGCCTAACTCATATAATGCATCAGCTTGTTGTAGTCCTAGTGTCCATATGTCACTGATGTAATGCTAGGTTGGATAAAGATTGTAATTTGATTTTCCTCCTTACAGGGCAGCTGCTACCACCACCAGAGCAGGAGTTAGCAACCAAAGTTCTTCAGATACAGTCCAAAAGGTTTTATCTTGATGTTAAACAGAACAGACGTGGCCGATTTATTAAAGTAGCAGAGGTAAGACAAGAAAGGCTCTACTTTTTTGTGTGTGTTGTGTGGGCCCTGTAAAACATTGTGTAAATTAATGTATCAAAAAGAAAAATTATCTGATTAATGGGTATTTTAAATTAGAAACTGCATAAAATCAAAGGTTCAGTCTGGTAGCCAATGATACAAAAATAAAGTTAAAACGTCAGTAACGGGAGTTTTTAACTTTTATTGTTGACAATATTCAAGCTTGTAATGTAGATGTTTTTTGTCTTGGTACAAAGGTGGGACCAGCAGGAAGAAAGAGTCGTCTATTATTAGCCATGTCCACAGCTTTAGAGTTAAGGGACCATCTAACAGTTTTTAGTGAAATATATGCCTCTTTAGGTAAGCATGAAATACAGTTAATGTGCCACCTAGTTATAAAGTTATTTTAACATTAAGAATTAGTAAGGACCTTCTGTATCTAAATATTCCTTTACAAGCTTCAATGATTTTAAGACCATTAGAAAAAATCAGGTTTCTTGTAGTTTGTTGTTAAGCAAATACATTCACAGAATCAGTGAGGGGCTATTGTTGTAAATAGTTTTGATATTTAAACAAGGCATTTAAAAAAATATATTCACAGAATCAGTAAGGGGCTATTGTTGTAAATAGTTTTAATATTTAAACAAGGCATTAAAAAAATCATCATATTTATTACATCAACAAATTATTTAATGTTTTACGATTAACTGTATTCTCACAATTTAAATATTTATCAACATATTTGAAGTATGTATTGATGATTTATAAAACAATTAATACCTTGTTGGTTTTTGTTAACTATTGTCAGAGAATTTCAAACTTCATATTGAACACTTAAAAGCTCGAAGTTTTGATCGAACAAAAGATTAGTCTGAATGCTTTTAAAAACTAGATTGAGTGAGAATTTTTACTCATTCTATTGAACACAAAATGTACTGCCCCAAAATATTACCATAGTATGAATAGTGTAAGTATTCTTTAAAAAGCAAGTCCATTATAGCAGGTATTGAACTTTGAACCCCTCTATTTTTTTCACCAAAAACTATCATGTATTTTTAAAGGTCCTCCGAACCCAGACAACCTACCTGAAGACGGAAAGTTAAAAAGTGAATTAATGATTAAAGAAAATAGACGATACTATCTTGACCTGAAAGAGAATTCTCGGGGAAGGTTTTTACGGGTGAGTATTCGTAGAGAAAATACTAGCCAATACCCATTCTACGGACACGGGGGTCTAAACATACTGCGATGAAGCTTGAGAAATTACCTTTGATACAATGCTATTATACAGACTTATTATCATGGAGAGTGTGGGAGAATTCTAACAGACTTTGTTAAGAGACTATCTGTTATCATTGTTATTTTTCTTCTCATGGATACGGTGACCAACAGAACTGTGTTAAAAAGACTTTTACGTCTTAATTACGTTCATCTTTTTGTTTAATCTCTTAGTTTAAGTTCAAGAGGTCCAGTTCAATCTACACTTTGATCAATGTGTGTTATTGGGTTTTACTAGTTTTGTAGGATTCCACTCCTCATCGGTAACCTTGAACACAAGTTAACCAAAGAGAGATAAGCTGGACCTATATCATAGTGAAAAGTATCAAACATATTGTTGGTATGAACGTGCTTTGTATTAACTCTGAAGAAAAGGTTTACCATTAACTGTCATGGAGCCCATAATAGTTTACAGAAACGGTATCTAGCTTCCTGCCTAGATGGAATCGAAAAGGCTTAGTCTCGTCTTACTAAAGCAAGGATCATTTGGCTACAGCGTTAAAGCTCTTAAAATAACATATAGGGGACATTTTAAAGATGTCAAAATGAAATAAGTTTATTTTGATAAAGTATGCAGTTCAAAGATAAAATAAACGTAAACAGTTTATGTCATAAGTTATATTTATTGCGAATTTTGTTTTCATTCATTATAAAACAAAACATGCATGATGTTAGGTAGGGGTCACCGATAGGTGATATCTCCAAGAGAAAGAGGTAAAATATGGATGCCAACGTATAGTATCGGTAATCTCAAGATAACAGTTTGGAAGGAAATTTAATTAAAACTAATTCATTGACTATGCCGGCATGGTTCGTAGACATGAATATCATATGGGGGTTATTCTTTGAAAAACATATTTTAATGTTACCTAATCCCTTGAATTTAGCTGGAAACTATATCCTGTGTTGGTAAAGTGCTGTTGTTCTAAACACATTTCTTTTGTAAAGGTGTTAACGCTATTTATTTTATCATACAGAAATTGAGAAAAACTAGCATTCACCTTATTTTGGTGCTTGTTATAAAGATGTGAAACCTCGGGCTAATGAATGGTATATCGGTGTTGCTATACAACATCCGGAAGTTTAGAGTTCCAAGTTATTTTTCCTTCAATTGTCAGTGCTAAAACAGGTTGAAAACAAAGTATCTCAGTTTATATCACTAATTTAAACATCATGTCTACTGTAGATATCCCAGACTATTACACAAGGAGGACCACGGTCCCAGATAGCCATCCCAGCACAAGGAATGATAGAATTTCGTGATGCCCTCACCGACCTTTTAGAAGAGTTTGGTACGGATGATGGAACATCGTTTGGTAAGCAACCTGGATATGACTGTTATCAGTTAGTTTAATTATCTTCAGAGTACAAACAAAAAATGTCCAGACTTGTATATGCTAGAATCTCGGGGCTCTTGTGTGAAATAATTCTGATTAATGAGAGATTCAAAGCCGTTATTTTGCCTTTTTTACTGAAATTATATAATTTTGTAAAACTAATAACAGAGGGCACCACAGTACAAGTAGTAGTATTGGATTCTATGGTGATTAGGGTAATCTCATGTAAAACACCCCTATTGACATATGAAAACTTGGTTTTAATTTTTACACGTTTTTCATTCACTGTTCAACAGTTGATATCTAAGCTATTTAATTTAGGTCCCTAATACATCTGTTAACTATATTAATCATTGAAGTGTTTTCTATGTTAGGGTTCAAGGGGGTCCTCCCTGAAGCTCGACACATGCGGGTAGAAAACAAGAATTTTTATTTTGACGTTGGACAAAATAGCAGAGGAATCTTCATGCGAATATCAGAGGTATTGGTTTTGAAACGTAGTCTCGTTAGCTCTTAATTTGGAGAGTAAAAGTACCCTATTATATTATCTTACTTAATAATAATAACTGGAACGTAAACTTTTTGATACATCGATCACAGCTGGGTAAGTGTTGAAAGTAAAGTCCCTAAAATGATAAGTGGATTTAGGTTTTTCTTATAAACAAAAGAGAAGAAACTTTATTAAGAGTTCAAAAAATTGTTTTAATGAAGAGGTAATTAAAGTGAACTAGAGAGAGGGCCATAAGGAGTTGGTTTTTTGCTGTACTTTTAAAGATAAGCTGTGACCACAGGTCTCTGTCCATACTTTGTAGAATCATTATTCATATATAATAAGTTTAAGAAATCCTCAGTCTTCGTTTGTATAGAAGATGTTATTTACCTTCCAAGATATTTCTCGTGTAATTTGTTTTATAATTCTTTTAAGTGAACAAAACGAAGCTGGATGACAATGTTGTAAGTACTTTTAGGTTGTTAATCAGTTTTGTAGAAGAACTGTGTATTACAGACTGGAGGTAATAGGTTTATAAAACTGGCAGATACATTAAAAACAAGCGTGATTGATTTAAATGTCTGTTATTTCTATATGTAGTTGATGTTAACTGTCCTCAACCCCTCCTAAAGGAGCCTGTTTTGCTGTCAAGTGTAAAAAGTACATTACAACACAAAATTTAGTTCAGGCTTAATAATAATTCTTTCATTTTGTGGGATTAGAAATTTGTATTTATCAGAACAGATGAACAAATAGGTTTATTTATTTTAGGTGAAAAATAACTTTAGAACTGCCATCACCATTCCAGAAAAATCCTGGTCACGTTTTCGAGACACATTTACTGAGTATGTTGATAAAATGAAAGATCTCACAGAGCCATCGAATGAAGGTGGAAAGTAGGGTACAGTGACTGTTGTTGATTACCGACCATTGTTAATGTGACATTATCTATTGTTATCTGTGAACGTGATGGGGAGGGAAGCACTCTGGTGTCACTAGTTTCTTCTAGAAGAAGCTGCTGACATCATCTGTTGGCTACCTGATACACTGTAGGAAATGGCTTGCTTTTTCAATAGCATCAGATTGTCTTCTATTTGTTGTGTAGGCAGAGTTTTTTATTACAACCACGAAGAGAAGAACCCGGTGAAAGGTGTACAGTTGACCGAATAATAAACTATTAATGTTAATGTTGTTATTGTTTTATATTAACTTTCCACTACACGAGTAGCTGCTGTTACATTACCTGTACTCTATTCAAAGGTCTTGGTTCCACAGTTAGTTTAAGAACTGAATGTAAGATTTTAAATTAACAGAAAAAATTGTATTTCTGTAAATAAACAATTTGAACAAAGTTTTAAAGGGTGGCTGGAGACCTGTATATTAAGTAATCTTGCTCACCGACCCTAGGAGCTTTTTATATCACTTCAGCCAAGGCAGCATAACATTGCAATCATATCTCTACAATGTCAGATAACCTTTAACCTTGTGTATTTAATTCCATATTAGTCAACATAAATGAGACTTCCACTTAAAGTACAGTGTATCCCTATTTAACACAAACTTTATTATTTCAGTGTATGCCATAAATCTCCAACAGTTATGGACACTAATTAACACCATCTAAGCTCTGAAAGAAATACTAGTGCTTTGGTTAGCCACTTGATGACATGATCTGAAAATGGTATATTCCTTTGAAGATCCATCAGGATCAACAACCGGCTTAATGTTTAAAGTTAGTTTTCTACACATGGAAAAGCTTTTATTTAATGAAAGTTAACATAGTAACTTGTACGGTGTACACAAATAAAGGCACCTACTTGTCCGATTGCCAACAACACCGTACACCTCACGATTCAGTGCATGTTCCCCAACTCGATTGTCATCATTTAGTTACCTTACTCTCATCCACTGATGTAAGAACATGGATGAACTGATGTCTAGAAGATGAAATCTGAAAAGAAAAATATATTCAGTGACAATGGTAAATTTTAACCCTAACCATTTTGTGCTTGTTACAGTTTTCACAGTATTAACTTTTAATACAGTAAGTTTACCTTCACGAAATGTTGCAGATCATCGGTAAACATTACAATATCACTTTTTTTAATGTTGACTGTTCAACATGCAAAGTAGATTAAAAATACTTTTGTGGATCAGAAAATATTTATAACCTCCAGATAATTATCAAACTTTTGTTTTATATATTATTTTCACTATTGCATCTCTGTATGGGTTTATCCTATTTAACAGACGTCGTAACACCATAAAAAAATTAGGAAATCAATACAAGTTACACTTTTTTTGTTCTAGAATGACCACAAATGTTTAGTCTAAATAGCTTAAATCAAATAAAATTAAAACCTATATAGTTATTATATTGACCTTTCAGAAGTTACATGTACCCTCATGTTACCCTATCCAATAGTATAAAACTGGCCTTTACAAAGTGACCGGTCTTGGTTTTGTTCTAGTGGACCAGTATTTTGTAAAATACAGTCACATTATAAACAGAAATGCCACCCCATGGCTCGCTAATTATTTGATCAGAGTATTTATACCTCGTTGAAAAAAGTAAACATTTTCTGGCAAGTACTGCATGTTTAGTGTCTTCAGATTGTGCTGATATAAACTGTTATGTTTTTATATATTAGAAGTGGTACCGTTTATTGAAAAAATGTTGTTGTTTTTTTAAAGAACTCCATTTTCTCGGTACTACATTTAAAAATTACATCAATAAAGATACAATCAAATCCTCACGTACAGTCCTAATGAAAGTCGTGTTCTTCTTGGAATTGTGTTCAATTATAAAGAAATGGTTGTTGCACATACCACAATTATTTTGCTAACTGTTAGAGTCTTGAATACCCAAAGTGGATTTTTTTTTTTGTTTGTGGTGCCATTCAATAGATGGCGCAGGAGTTTTGGTTAGGCACAGATACTGATGTATGCTACAGCCATTATAGTAAGATTTACAAACAAGTTATGTTATTTTTTTAAAATATAGAAAACTATTATCTTCTATTTAAGAACTTTGTACTTGCTTCCCATAATTTGCTAAGCCTTGTCAAATTTTGCCAGTGGAGGGTGTAGAACAAAATCATAAATTACTACATCAATAACATTAAATTCCACTACAGTTTATCAGGCTTAGTAACTCGGATTTATTTAGGTCTTAAAATAAAATACGATATTCCGAGCTCCATTGTCTCCTACCTTTCCACTTCGATTTTATGATGAAAAGGAAGATTTCTCACGTTAACACTTCAAAGAAGCTGAGAAAACCACATGGGGGATATTCTTAGCTTTTGATTGGTTATCCATACGTCATACAGCGAGGTAAAGTGTACATAAGCAAGAATGGAAGAAGTGGACGAGACCACCTTGGTTGATTCACTAAATATAATAATATCTCAGAAAAATAGTTCTTCCAGCTTGTCAATATCAGTAATTTGAGTTCCTAATTCATATGAACCTATAAACTTTGGACATCACAAACATCTAATTTGAACCAAAGCTGTGCTCAACGTATGACATTTTGTTTTATATTTACTTTTAAATTAACTGATGTATAATACTAAAATATGAATTATAATCTACAATTTGATACGAGACTTTAATAAAATAGTAATTCCATAAAATTTTGAATGCAAGTCTAAAAATGTGATGACATGCCCTTTGACCCCTTAACTATAGGGGGTTAATTAGTATTTATTCCTTCATACAAGTAAGACTTGCCGTAACTACAAATCTGAGTAGAGCAGTTTTAAACCACCTTCAAGGGATTAACTACAAAAGTTTCAACATTAAATTTAATGGTGAACCCGTTAATAAATTATTGTTATGTATATATTTTTCATCTAGATCAAACAAATGTCAAAAGATTCTTTGCTGTTTACGCTACTTGAAGCCACAACCTCGAGTTTTGGTCAAACAATATTTAAAAATAATCTCACCTTGCTCTAGGATAAAAATGTACACCAGGAGAAATAGCATTGCTAACTTTCATTTATCTGGTATACATTCTACGTAATAAAATTCAGCCAGCTAAAAGTTTAGAATAAGTTTCACAAGAAGTATTAATCACGTGTCCAGGTTTAATGCCAAATTTTTTTATTGACACTGCATTGTTGTCAAGCGAGTCACTGAAAGTGATCGGCTCAAAAGTCAGTTGATATAACAACTGTGAGACCACTACCACTGTTTTACTGACATTTACAGGGATATTGTGGTACCCTTGTTTTACTGTGAATGTCATAATCGGGTGAGAACTACAAGACATAATAATATCATATTTATATCTTTAACTAGGCCATATGGTCTTACTATTTCTGTATAACTTTTAGAGAAGGCCAAGCTACATTCTTGTACAGATATTTGTTGGACCTTTGTCTCTATGTAATAAATCATTAACTTGTTTATACCATCTTATTAACAAGGATTCACAAATACTGGCTAAACCAAAAGGAATTTTTTTCCCCTTAATATCATATGATGATGTAACATCAAAACAAGTAGAGTCCAGTTCTATTGGGAGGCCGATAGACTCGATTAAAAATGTTTTTAATTATTTATACCAAGAAACAATACTTACATGTGTACATTTCTTGCCTTTGTTCTGTTGAACTAAAATCCTAAGCCAAGCAGGAAAGCAGAAGAAGACGTGTCGCACCTGCCGAACGTCACAGGTGTTATTCTGCAACGACCACAATCCAATTTCACACAACTTTTCAACGTGTTCTAACTTCATTCTTTCAGAGATATCTGTTGAGGAAAATAGACAATATTTCTAGAGGTACTGTTAATTCTTCACTTGCCCAGTACGGCAAGTAAAACTTTACGTGATAACTACCCGATTGTTAATAGTCAAATAAAACCGATATTAGCAAAAAATAACTGGACTAAATGTGACAATATTTCTAGAGGTACTTTTAATTCTTCACTTGCCCAGTACGGCAAGTAAAACTTTACGTGATAACTATCCGATTGTTAATAGTCAAATAAAACCGATATTAGCAAAAAATAATTGGACTATTTTTTGCCCGACGAGTCTAAGTATTGGCTCCTATTACAAATGTCAACACACAGTTTCCAGTTAGTCTGTAAACCTATCACACCTCACGTGTATATATTTAATTCAAAATCTGTAGGCTCAAGAAAGTTTTCTTCAATCTTTTTTTTATAATGAGAACTAACTTACAAAATAAAAGTTTTGATTATTTAACATAGTTTTTAATAAAACTTTTCAAAAAATGAATTAAATTACATGTACGGATGCCATTTGTATCATCCATACATAATAGCACAGGCACACAGAATAGTAGAATGTTAAACTCAACTGTGATTGAACAGTTATATATATATATATATATATATATATATATATA